CCACCGGCTGGCTGGTTCGCTCTGTAAGTAAGGCTTTTCCCTATTAAATACCCTTATATTTCTACCTGACTCCGTATTGGTAATTTCCCACTATACACAGAACCAAACACATGAGCCTGGCCTTGGCCAGAGTTTCTCTTCCACAGCTCAGAGCTGGTATCAGGAAAGATTACAAAACGCTACAGGAATAGCAAGGCCATTCACTCCCATTTGGCTGGCAAGCTGGAAGGGCTTCCTGGTGTAGTAGTGTGCACACCTTTGGTCCCAGAACTCCAGAGGCAGAGGCAGGCAGATTTCTGTGAGTTTAAAACCAGCCTGAACTACATAGTAAGACTCTTTCTCAAAACAAAACAAACAAAAACAAAACTAGCCTTGGGCCTGTACATCTCCATAGGTACATTCAGCCAAGAAGAGAAGGCAGGGTATAGCCACAGGTGCACAGCAGAGATCACAATGGCCCAAAGCCTCTCTGCAGTTTTGAAGAGCACCTGATGCTCTATAGTACTCCCATCAGAGCCCCTGTGGCCACCAAGATGGGGGTAGGGTGGACAGGAGAAAGTAAACCCCAGCTTGGGAGGCCAGGCAGGAGGCCGATGGGCAGACAAGGGACTAGAAGAGTCTGACATCCTGCAGAAATGGCTTGACAAAGTATCCCCTCCCTGACTCCAGGGTTCTCCTGCCCCTGAAAACGCCACCGTGGCCACTGAACTCCCCAAGTCCCCACCCCGTGTCTGATCTTAATACTACACTTGTCAACCTGACTACCTCCCCAGCCCTGGGATAGAGGAACCATGTCCACCACCCACCCTGTTCCTCCCATGACCAGCTTTGATGGGCACACAGCAGATTCCCACAGTGCTGGACACAGCTAGTAGGCTGTCAGGAGGGTATGGCCAAACCTCTCTCTGCTTTCAGGTTTTGCCCCATGACTGTGGAGCACCTCTTGCTGCCTTCTCTGGTTCCCCCTCACCCTGAGCAGACTGCATAGATGGTTTCAGCTACTTCCACAGGCCCCTGACCACTCAAGGTTACTAGGCGGAGTCTGTTTTCCCAAATCCTAGCTCAGGATGACCCAGACTTACTCTGACCCACATGAAAAAAAAAAAAAAAAGCACAGTGCAGGAATCCAGGATGGGGCCAGAATGAGGGTACTCAGCCTCTCAGAATATGAAGGGAACTGGAGAGGAAGCTCAGCCCATGAGGAAAGGCAGTATGAGAGGCTGGCTGGGGCCATCCGGACCTCGGGAGCCCTCAGATACAGATACCACAAGACCTGCCACAGAGAGATTAGCAGACCTGCCTGGCTGAGCCCATTCCCATGGCTGAATTCAGGCCTGTGAGGAAAATGAAATGACTAAGGGGTGGTGTCTCGAGTCAGGCCACCAAGCCCCCACCCCGCCGTGCATTCCTTGAGCTCACCCTTCTGCAGTCACAGATCCATGGTGCTGGCACAACACACTCCCACCTGACTCCCCCACCTCAGCTCTGTGCCCTTCCCCGAGGGCACACCGCCATAACTTCAGCTTCTCTGGCAGCCCACTCTTCATGCCTGAGTGGACTTTGTGCCGGTGAGCTTCTGAAAGGCTATAGACACGCAGCCTTGGCACCCCTGTGAATGGAGCTGGTGAGCTAGCTGACACCATGGACGTTTTAAACATTGAAACAGGTTTATCAGGAGGAGCAAAAGTGGTGAGTTCCTAGTTCGTGGGGCATTGTGGGACCACACACGGTACACTATCTGGTTTGTTATTAGAGTATAGTTCTTCCAGGCTTTTGAAAATTCTGGCTTTCTCAAAGAGACCAGAGGACTCAACAGTATCTACCATAGGGCATTTTTGACTGGTCGCTTGGTTCCTCCCTCTAAAGGAACAACCAGTGATTGACAAGTGAAGAGGAAGGACACAACAGTCTCCATGGCCATCCTGAGCTAACACACCTAGCATCCTAACATTATTTTAAATTTGTGTGTGTATTGGGGGTGGGGAGCTTCAAGACAGGGTTTCCATCTGTAGCCTTGGCTGTCCTGAAACTCGCTCTGTAGACCAGGCTAGCCTCTAACTCAGACATCCACCTGACTCTGCCTCCTGAGTGTTGGGATTCAAAGTGTATGCCACCACTGCCCTGCTTAAATTTTAAGTGTGTGTGTATGTGTGTGTGTGCTTGTGTGCGCGCGCACGCGCATACGTATGTATATATGTGCATGTATGTATGTATGTATGTACGTATGTCAGAAGACTGACTCACCATCTTGTTTTTTGAGGCAGGGTCTCTTACTGAACCTGGAGCTCACCAAATTGGCTAAACAGATGACCAACAGGCTGATGGGGAATGTACTGTGTGTGTCCGATAAAATAAGTCTTATAAAATATATAGATTTATGATAATTAAGACTGAGCTAACAGATGAGAATCCTAGTCATTGGCCAAACAGCATTGTACCTAATACAAGTTTCTGTGCATTCATTTGGGCCTAACTCAAGCGGGTGACTGGCGTAAAGCTCAAACGTGGCGGTAGAGCTCAGGTGGCTTTTGGCGGAAAGATTTATTGTAACAACAGGCTCCAAAAATTCTCCTGTCTCTACCACTCCATAATGGAGTTACAGACATGCACCCCATACCTGAATGTTTTTTTATGTAGGTGCTGAGGGTCAGTTCCTCCCACTCACACAGCAAGCACTTTGCTGACTGAACTACCCTACCATTCTAAAATAAGGAATTAGAAAGCCTCTGAGGGTAGAGACTCTGGCATGGAAATCGCAGAAGAAAGTGTGTGGAGAAAGGAAGCAGGCAGGTACCCACACAGAAAGGCACACACTAAGACTAAAGAATATGGAGGAATACAGGCTCACTCAGGCCACTATCCCTGGCTGAAGCCAGAGTCTGGGGCCTGGCTTGCATGAGGCATGGGTCCCTGGGGGCCAGTTGGGCAGCCGCCATCACTTACTCTGTGGTGGTGGTCAGTTCCTCTGAGATATGGCTAGAGTGCAGCAGGCCTTCCCGCTTCTGAAAATCCCAAAGTAAGCAAATCAATACACAGACCATGGGGCAGGAGTAAAATAGAGGACACATGCTGAGCTCATGGTGACCCCGGGCAGGATGCCAGCCTAGAAAAGGCCACATACCCAGTACACACTTCATACCTGGTCAAGTATACTCTAGGTGACCACAAGGAAGAGCCTTGTGTGTCTGTGACTGTCCCCAAATTGTTCTCCATGGTGCCCTGGGAAATGGTCACTAAGCAAAGTTCAAGAGAAACATCCCAGGCAAGACATACCAAATAAGGCTCATATTCTGTAGCTGGGGCAGGGGACATGGATAGTTAGGAAGTTCATGAGTCTTGCTGGGGAGACACCAGAGAAAACACTTGTGGGCAATTGGCCATACAGAAGGCCCCAACACATCTACCCAGGACCTCGGATCTTGCTTTTCCTTGGTGGCTTCCAATACAGTGAAGAGAGGCCACAAGATGATGAGTAGTGATGAGTGATGCACTCTGGAGCTGGAGTGAGTGGCAGAAACAGAGGACCACAGCCATGAACCTGGGACACTAAAGACAGCCAGTGGGAGCAGAACAGGGCAAAGAGGATGACCGCGTCCCTGAAGCCAGCAGTCCTGGGAGAAGAAATCCACCTGCCACTTGAAGCCCCCCACTAGTGGTGCTTCACCCCAGCAACCCTAGCAGAGACATGGAAGGGCCAGGAGAACAGAGGGGATGGTGGATGGCAGCCCATATATACCGGGAGTTCCCACAGGCCAGCCAAAGTAACCAGAACCACAGGTCCCTGCTTGAAGCTCCTGAGGGACAGTAATCTGTTGTAACCAGGATCCCCTTGCACTCTTCCCTGTACTGGCCCTCAGGGATCTTGCAGACTCGTTCTTATTAAAAAGTAACAACAGCTGGTAACTTCAGCTTGGCTCAGCCCCGGCCTCATGCCAACTGACACTCAAAAGCCCACCAAAAAAGACTCCTAGGTATTTGGTTCACTTATTTGCATGTTAAGCATGAATGAGGTGCCTGTTAGTTGCTAGGCATTGGGGAAGTCATTGGTAGACTCAGAGCTGGTTAATCGAATAGTACCAACATCACCCAGAGTTTGTAGAGAAATTATGGGAGCCCTGAGAAATCAAGAGGCCTGCCCCAAGCTTCCACCGCTGGGGGTAAGCAAGGCTTGTCCTTCATGCCTTCCAGCCATGAAATGCCACATGCCTCACTTTGTCCCATCTCAAATAAGATCGTGGGTTACCTGAGCAAGCATACGGACAGCCCATTGGACCTCAGGAGAGACAGAAAGAACTCTGAGCAGGGCCTGGGGGGAGGGGTGCTATTTCTGAGAAGCTGCCACCCAGCTGAACATCCTGACCCGGTCTCTTCTACTTTGTGCTCTGCACAGACAGCCCAGGAACCCTGGTCAAGGCACAGCATGATGGACGGGGCTTGCTGGGGGCAGTCAGACTTTCCAAAAACCCAAGCTTGTCTTGGACCAATGTGTAAAACTGAAAGGCAATACCCGGACAGTGAGCCTGCTCAGCACTCTTGGGGCCCCGGACTGACGTAGGTAGGTTTAGGAACCATTTTCCCATGTGTCCTTGGGAAGCCTTTCCCAGCCTGCTGCCTATGAGCCAGCAGCCAAGACTAGGGCCACAGGAATGGTCCCCCTGGGTCTGCGTCACTCTCGCTGACCACAAACATCCTGATTGGGAAGGAAGGGAGAAATGGCAGGTGACCTTCACTTAATGTCAGAAAGGGCCTTCCCAGCAGGATACAGCTAAGCTTCCAGGGTAGAAGAGAGGTCAGGATGACTTCAGAAACATAGGCTCAGCCAGGCCATCATGGACCACAGACCACAGAACAGATAAGTTAAAAATTCAGAGAACAGAGCAAAGCTAGGTGTCTCCAGTAACATAAACACCAGTGTCATAGAGGTCCCAACTGTGACCTCAGCCCTCTGGCAGACATGACGGCTCTTCCAGGCCAAATGGGTTTTCCTCACTCGGGGTCCCCACAAGTTCAGGCAAATGCCTAGCACTGGTAGGTGCTTAATACATATTTAAATGTAATACATGGTGAAATCATGCACAGGAACCAAGTTGGGCCAGCATCTGTATTCGTGAAAGCTAAAGCACAAGAGAGTGCGCACGGCAAATGCACGCCTGGCCCCATTACCAGGGCCCTAGGTCCTGGCTCCCTTCTCTAAGTAAATCAAGAGAAATGAACCTAAAAAAAGAGATAATGGGGAATGATGGCTTATAATATGGAGCAAATGTGGAGAGCCTTTAATTTGGGTGTCTATTTCATTCTGCCGGTCGCAGCCTCCTCCAGTGAGTAATAAGCACATTCAAGGGGATTGAATTCCGACTCGGTGGCTTTGGAGAGAAATGAACCTTCTTTTCAGAAATCTGGGAAATTAAACCTCAACACCCGTGTGCCACTCTTCAAATCAACGCCATTGTTCCTACTCCAATCATTTCTCAAAGAGCCAGGGTAAGATATGCATTTTATCAAGAGGGAAAAATACAAGGTAGCCTCTTGGGATGGGGGGAAAAAGCTGGAAAACTACAAGAAGAAAAAGTCAGCTTGCCTCGCCAACAAAGAGCCGGGCAAAGAGACAGCCCAGTGTACTCACCCGAACAACCACCACCTGCACAGTGACATGCTCAGGAAGGTGGATGGGGGCCCTGAAGTGCATAGCCAGAGAGACGAGGAGGTGAAGAATGGCCACCAGGTTCTTCCCATGGATAGCTTTGGGTGGAAAGGGAAGAAAGAGAGGCCTCAAGTCAGATGGGTAGAGAGCAGGGAACCATCTCAAGTTTTTGTCTCAAGGAGACCTCTGGGGGACAAAAGAGCCTCCAAAGAGAGGGCTGACAAGGCCCCAGGGGATGTCTGCCTGCTTATGCCTGGCTTCTTTCTATTCTTTCTTGTTGGCCTGGGGGAGGGGGGCAGCTTGACAACCATGTTTTGTTTTGTTTTGTTTTGTGTCTTTTTTTTTTTTTTTCTGGTCAGGGTCTCACTATATAATCCTGGCTGCCCTAGAACAACTGGCCTCAAACACACAATGATCCACCTGACTCAGCTTCCTGAATGCTAGGATTAAAGGTGTGTGTCACTGTGCCTGGTCCTGGCAGCCACGTTAAAAGGCATCCTGCTTTTAAAAGCAGAGAATTGCAGGTTGCATGGAAAAGGACAGATCATAGCCACATACCCACCACAATAACACATGTCATTATCATTGGCTTTGGGCAAACTTCTGCTGCTATACAATCAGCTGTCCCCATGGAGGTGAGTGGCAGGGTTAGTAGGGGCTGCTCTAGGTCCAGTCGGTCCTGAATGCCTGCCCTGACTCTCACCGAATAGAATGTTTCAGGCCAGGATTTGCAGCTGGTAAGTCACCTCCTACCCACAGCTCCGGCACCTGGGTTAGAAGGATGGGTCTCCCCAAAGTCATGCTAAGAAACCAGGGGCAGAGCCAGCCCCATTTCCACAGCCAAGATCTGGGCTCTCTGTGCAGGTCACAGAGCCCTGGCCATGAAGGGTAAGCTCTGGCACTATACCCCATCACACCTGCCTTGCAAAGAGCCAGAGGAGGTGGGGACATGGACAGGACAGAAGCCATCAGCTTTTTCAGTCAGCTCATCTGCTTCTGCTCCTTCTGGGCTATAAACTATGATGCCACAAACCCCTCAAGCCAGGTGACAAATAACATTCCTGAGCTAGCATGGGCTCCTTGGCACCGGCCTCAGTAGGCCACCCCCATATGGACTCACTTTGTGCCACTACACTGGGTGCTTGATGTCAAGCCAAACAAAAACTCCTTGGACCAGGCATATAATCCCAGCATTGGGAAGGTAGAGATAGGAGAACCAGGAATTAAAGGCCAGCCTTGGTTACATATTGAGTCCAAGGCCAGCCTGGGCTGCATGAGACTCAAAAACAATACAAGGTCTAAGGAGATTTCTCAGTCCATAAAATGTTTGCCACACAAGCATGAGGACTCAAGTTGGAGTTTTAAAAAAGCCAACTATGGTAGCTAGTAATCCCAGCACAATGTAGTTGAGGACAGAATGAGCCTGAGCTCACTGGCCAGCCAGCCCCGCCTCACTGGTGAGGTGCAGGTCTCAGTGAGAGACCCTACCTCAAAACGAACAAGGGACATGGTTCCTGAGGAATGTTGCCTGAGTCTGACCTCTGGCCTCCATATACACGCACTCAGACCCACACAAAATAGAAAAACATATGAACAGATAAGAACCTTAGTGCTGAAGCACAGAGGGGAGTGTGTGTGTGTGTGTGTGTGTGTGTGTGTGTGTGTGTGTGTGTGTGTGTGTGTGTGTGTGTGTGTGTGTGGAGGTGGGGAGGCAGAGCACTGGTGTGTGATTGTGCCCTTAGCTGTGTGTTCTCCACCCTAGCTTCCCCAGACCTCTCCTCTGCCACCCGGCCTCTGGCAGAACAGGTCAAGAGGGTGCATTGTTTTTTTAACCACAAAGCCATAATGGGATGATCAATGAGAACATGGAAAGATAAAAGGACACTTCCTTCCAACACTCCAACACGGAGGCCACTCACAGTCCACATTCCAGCGCAGTGGCCAGCCGTGGGGCCGAAGCAGGTCTTGCACGGCTTCGAGGACTGTCTGCAACTTCTGCTTTTGCCCGGTCTCAGACTGTGTCACCTCAGCCACATTCAGCTTGCAGTGTCCCAGCTTTTCTGCAGAGACAAGGACAAGGTCATGAGGCAGAGTGTCAGAGCAGGATGAGCTGGAGCCACCCATGCCCTGGCTGGAGCAGGGGCACTAGGGGGTCTGGCATCTTAGCCCAAATCCCCCGGGGCCAGTGGTGCAGTGCTGAGTCAGGAAGCTCTTAGCTTGGGAAGTCATTTCTACTGCGAGAAAATGACGCTATAGCAAGTGAAGGGGCAGTAGAGAGTGAATCAGGAACTCGGAACAGCTTATGCACATGAAATGGAAAATAACCCTTCATGATGCAGCTGGGGGCCAAGTGTGGTTGTGGTGGCGGTCAGGCACCAGAAGGCACAGGGAAAGGACAGAGCTGCTCACAAGTTGTCCTCTGGCCTGCCGTCAGCTACTACATTCTAGGTGTGCCTAGGAAGCTGCACCCGTGAAACCTCAACAGCATGGCTGCCTGAACAAGACCTGACAATGACAATACCAGTTGACATGCCAACAATGGATGTGAGAAATGCCACAAAGCTGCACCCCTACATGAAGAACCAGAGGCAACTAACTGATGGCTGCTGGGAGGAGAAAAACCAGGGACAAGGAGCCCCTCCATTGATTATTCAATACCAAGTGATCAGCCCTAAGGGCACACACATATGAACAGCATTAAATGCACTCATTAAGTTGTAAATACACACACATAAAATTAATAATTAAAAAAGAGGTCACAAACTAGAGAGGGAGTAGGGGCACATGGGAAGAGCTGGAAAGATGGCAATGATATAAATACAGTACTCATGTATGAAACTCTAAAAAGAAAAAAAAACACTTAAAATTTTATATTAAAAACAAAAGCTAGCTGGATATGGTGGCTTATGCCTTTCACCTTAACACTCAGGAAGCAGAGGCAGGTAGATTTCTATGAGCTCAAGATCAGCCTGAACAACATAGCAAACTCTAAGCCTGTCAGGGTTACACAGTGAAATCTTGTCTGGAAAAAGAAAAAAAGTTGTCATCTGACCTTTAGGTGCACACACATTACTCGCCCCTCCCCCCACACACACATCATACACGAATGATAATAATTTAAAAATAGAAGCAAAAGGTACAGGAAGGGGTGAGGAAGTAAGTTCCCGGGTCAGCTACAGAGGGTGGTTGAAGAGAGCGTGGGAAGGGGAGGTGTCCCCATAGGGTCCCAGACTGCGAATTTTGATAAACACAAGGAAAAAAATTTCAACAATGCTTCCCTGCATCCCCAGGCTCCTTCTCCCATCTCTAAACATTTTCACCCCACAAGGAGTTTGATTGGAGATTTGCCAAGTTTGTGACTCTGTCGTTTCTAAGAGCAGGGAGGAAGCACTCTGGAGGAGTCTGGGCGAGAATTGTCACATTTGCTCAGGATTCAATTACCTAGACAGAGACCCAGCCGCCTTCAATTTCCTTTGGGAATGAGGGAGGCAGCAGGTGAGAGCAGGTAGCCAGATACAGCAGCCAGCGCTCTGGGGCTCCTGCTGAAGGCAGGGAGCCCTGTTCCCTCCCAGTCGTTACTTCCAAGATGTGATATTTCCTGACAGGGCTCCTCTGCCAACTAGCAAAGGCCCAGACCCAGGGTGACTGGAGGCAATTTCCTAGAATGTGATTACCATGTCCTTAGCCCAGGATACAAGGCTGCCATCCGCCACATTGTCACTGAGATCATGAACCCCACTAAGGTCCCACAAAGTTCTGCTGCACACATTTTATCTGGGCCCAGGACTTCAGTGTTCTTGCCCCGGACTTCCAGCTCAGGCAGTTAAAATGGTCAGTTCTTCTGCAGTCTGTGGGATGAGATGGCACACACATCTGCTCACATGATACAGCCCTTCAATCACATGTTCACTTAACACACTGGGCACGCCTGCTGGAGATGTGTGGGCAAGAGAGGCCCTCAGTGGAGGGACAGGCAGTGAATGTGACAACCAAGAAAGACCATGGACAGACACATGACAGGCTGGGCAGAGGTGAATGTGATGGAGAAAACAAATTGGCAGTTACTCACTGCCTCTGGGGATAAGAGCGCCTGCTTCCATGGATTCTCACTACCTGTCACCTGCGTCACTGGTCCCACAGGGACATCCACAGTTGCATGTGTGTGAGCAACATGAAAACACACAGCAAGCCAGGCCCACAGGTGTGCAGCAACCAAGGACAGGGCAGACACTGGGGAAGGAAACAGGGAAGGAGGAAGGGACAAAGAGAACCCAGCATGCCCTCCTTTCTCCTGCCACCAGCCATGTCACCTGGAATGGCAGAAGAGAAGGCAACAAAAAAGGGAAGGAAACCCATCAGTCAGCACTGGCTAAGGAAGAGCCGAGTGGTGGTTTACAGAGGCTCATTCTCCCAGCCCTTGGACCAGAGGTCTGAGACAAGGTGTTGGTTGTTTTCTTCTCAGAGTCCCCACATGGATGTCCCTCTGTGTGCAGCTAAGATACATTTTTTTTTTTTTTTTTTTTAGTAAGATGTGGTATCTAGGGGCTGGAGAGATGGCTCAGAGGTTAAGAGCACTGGCTGCTCTTCCAAAGGTCCTGAGTTCAATTCCCAGCAAACACATGGTGGCTCACAACCATCTGTAATGAGATCTGGTGCCCTCTTCTGGCCTTCAGGGACACATGCAGAGTGAACACTGTAAAAAAAAAAAAAAAATTTAAAAAAAAAAAAAAAAAAAAAAAAAGATGTGGTCTCTCTGTGTAGCCAAGACTGGCCTTGAATTCAGTCTCCCTGCCTGAGCATCTCAAGTACTTGGACTGGTAGGTATTCAGCATCTCCCCTGGCTAGTTTCTGCTCATAAGAACTACTCCAGTATAGTACTGGAGTAGAGCCAAGCTTCATAACCTCATTTCAAATTAATGACTTCTTTTTAAAATGTGTCTCTAAACACAGTCACATTCTAAGGTCTGGCTGTTAGAATGTTGTCTTAGTTAGAGCTGCTATTGCTGTGATGAAACACCAAGACCAAAAGTAACTTGAGAGAAAAGGGCTTATTTTGCTTATATATTCCAATCATAGTCCATCATCTAAAGCAGCCAAGACAGGATCTCAAGCAAAGCAGGAACCTGGAGGCAGGAGCTGATGCAGAGACCATTGAGGGTGCTGTGCTTGGCCCTCATGACTTTCCTTTTCTCTTCTTCTTCTTCTTCTTCTTCTTCTTCTTCTTCCTCCTCCTCCTCCTCCTCCTCCTCCTCCTCCTCCTCCTCCTCCTTCTACTTCTTTTGAGACAGGGTCTCTCTACATAATCCTGTATGTCCTATAACTCACTTTGTAGACCTGGGCTCAAACTCACAGAGATCGGCCTGTCTCTGCCTCCCAAGTTCTGGGATTAAAGGCGTGCACCACCACTTCCTGGCTTTAGCCTGCTTTCTTATGGAACTCAAGACCTGCAGCCCAGAGGTGGTCCTACACACAGTAGGCTGGGCTCTCTTATATTACTCACTAATTAAGAAAATGCCTGTCTGCGCCAGGTGGTAGTGGCGCAGGCGGATCTCTGGGAGTTCAAGACCAGCCTGGTCTATGAGAGCTAGTTCCAGGACAGCCTCCAAAGCCACAGAGAAACCCTGTCTCCAAAAAACAAAAGAAAGAAAGAAAGAAAGAAAGAAAGAAAGAAAGAAAGAAAGAAAGAAAGAAAATGCCTATCTGTTCTTGATTTAATTTTGGTAAGTGATATCTATCCAGCAAATCATCCATTTCCTTTAAATTTTCCAATTTTGTGGCGTACAGGTTTTCAAAGTATGACCTGATTCTCTGGATTTCCCCAGTGTCTGTTGTTTGTCCCCCTTTTCATTTCTGATTTTGTTAATTTGCATGTTCTCTCTCTGCCTTTTGATTAGGTTGGATAAAGGTTTGTCTAGTTGATTTTCTCAAAGAACCAACTCTTTGTTTCATTGATTTTTTGTATTGTTTCCACTTTATTGATTTCAGCTCTTGATTTGATTATTTCCTGGCGTCTACTCCTCCTGGGTGAGTTTGCTTCTTTTTGTTCTAGAGCTTTCAGGTGTTCTGTTAATTCTCTAGTGTGGCTATTATCCAAATTATTCATATGGGCACTTAGTGCTATGAACTTTCCTCTTAGAACTGCTTTCAGAATGTCCCATAGGTTTGGGTATGTTGTGCCTTCATTTTCATTGAATTCTAGGAAGTCTTGGATTACTTTCTTTATTTCTTCCCTTACCCAGGAGTGATGCAATTGAGCATTGTTCAATTTCCATGAGTTTGTGGGGTTTCTGCAGTTTGTGTTGTTGTTGAATTCTAATTTTAAGCCATGGTGGTCTGATAAGATACGGGGGTTTATTAGCATTTTTTTTTATCTGTTGAGGTTTGCTTTATTGCCGAGTATGTGGTTGATTTTAGAGAAGGTTCCATGTGGCGCTGAGAAGAAGGTATATTCCTTTGTGTTTGGATGGAATGTTCTATAGATGTCAATTCTAGACATAGTGAAAAGGATTACCAGCCTACAATCCACACATGCAGAGAAGCTAGGAAACAAGGAGGACCATAAGAAGACATACATGGTCCCCTAGTGAAGCAGAAAGGGACAAGAGCCCCTGAACAAATGGGGAGTATGGAGGGAGGGGAAGGGAAGTAGGAGAAAGAGGAGGGGAGAAGAGGAGGGGGAGGAGAACATGAGGGATCAGGAAGATTGAGTGGGGACAGGAATAGAGGGGAGCAAGAAACGAGACACATCAATAGAGGGAGCCACTATAGGCTTAAAGAGAAATCTGGCACTAGGGAATTATACAGAGATTCAAAAAGATGACCACTATTGCTTAGGACTCTAAGCAATAGTGGAAAGGCTACCTTAAATGCCTGTCCCCTATAATGAGAATGATGACTACCTTAAATGCCATCCTAGAGCCTTCATCCAGTAGCTGATAGAAGCAGAAGCAGAGATCCACAGCCAAGCACTGAGCCAAACTCCTGGAATCCAGTTTCAGAGAGGGAGGAGTGACCAACAAAGGGGTCAAGACCATGCTGGGAAAACCCACAGAAACACCTGACCTAAGCAAGTGGGAACTCATGGACCCCAGTCTGATAGCTGGGAAACCAACATAGGACCAAACCAGGCCCCCTGAACGTGGGTGTCAGTTAGGAGCACTGGGCAGTCTATGGGGCCTCTGGCAGTGGAACCAGGATGTATCCCTAGTGCATGAACGGACTTCGTGAGCCCATTTCCCATGGAGGGATACTCTCTTAGCCTAGACACACAGGGGAGGGCCCTGCCCCAAATGACTTGACGGATTTTAATGATCCCTCATGCATGGAAGGGCTCACCCTCCCTGGAGAGTGGATCCGGGATAGGATGGAAGGGAGAGGTAACTGGTATTGATACGTAAAACAAGATTGTTTCTAATTTAAATAAAATTTACATCTAAAAAAAGCAAATGCCCTCAGCAATGGTTCTCAACCTTCCTAATGCTGTGACCCTTTAATACAGTTGCCCATGTTGTGGTGACCCCCAACCATAAGATTATTCTCGTTGCTACTTCATAACTGTAATTTTCCTACTGTTAGGAATCGTAATGTAAATATTTTTTGGAGATGGAGGTTTGCTAAAGGGTTTTCAATCCACAGATTGAGAACTGCTGTCCTACAGGCCTGCCGAAGGTCTGATCTCACAGAGGGTTCTTAGTTGAGGTTCCCTCGTCTTAGATGATTCCAGCTAGTGTCAAGGTGACATGAAAACTAGCCAGCACTGATGTCACTATATGAATGTGAGGTTAGGGGCTATGACTCAGCCCAAGGAAACAGGTCCCACATCACATTGTCTTGCCCTTGGTCTCCATAATGCAGGATTCCACTAAGCAGGGAAAGTAGACTTCTCTGCACATCCACCAGGAATCGATCTGCCAACTGCTGGGGTGGCAGATGTGCCATGGCCTCCTTTTACCAATATGGAAGAGACAGGGAAAGCCTGAATGACCCTTGAGCCAAGGACTAAAGATGTCGCAGTGAGTACCAGTTGGCCTGGGAGACCCTCGACATCCTACAAGGGCATTCCACTGGCCCACCAACTGGAGGTGAGCACTACAAAGCCAGCCAAGATGAAACCTGGCCTGCCGCAGCAATCCCCTGTTATTTCCAGCATGCCCTCTCAGGAAGAGGGGCTCCTCTGGGTGCCCTGGTGGCTCACCCTTGATGAATACCACACAGCCAAATCCAAAGGCCCATGCCATTGTCATCATTTACACTCTTCATCCGCTCAAAACACCTCCTCAGACTGGGGGCATGACTCAGCCGGAAACGTGCTTGCTTTGAAGGGGCCAGCTCCCCATTTCGGCAGCCATAACAGCGGAACAT